TGCCCACAAAGGACTGCCTCAGTCTGCAAAAGGCCAAAACAGGGGCTGTCCTGCACACATCCTACAAGTCTCCTGAGGCTTAAAGGCCACATTTATCTTTAAATAGAAAGGTTTCTATTAAAAGGGGAAATGGAAAGAAGAATGGTTTGCCAAGTCCATAGGTTCCTTTAAGGAACCCACTGCTCCCCCCTTTTTGAATCATATGGAATACTCCTAACCTTTGGGTAAGCTAAGTGTTTGTCCAAAATGTGTAAGGATTACATTTTGATGAAGAATTATCCATTGGGATGCCAGCTTTTAACATTAGAGAAGAATTGTCTTCCTCTGAGACCGAAATTTTAGGAACAACATGTCCACTAAAAACCTTCCCAAAAGTCTAAACTTTTTTTTTTTGTTCATGGACCCACATGGGTCCACTTATACTCCCTAAATCTGGTGGCCTGCATGTCTTCCATTGTGCCTCTATTCACAGCTGGGAGTTACCCTTTTTGTTATTCTTCACCATCTGTCACCTGAACTGCTAGACTGGAATCATACTCCAAAAACTCTATCTTCAATCATCTTTTCCTCTTGTGTTCTCTGGTGCAGCCAGGGTAGTCTTAAGGAGTTTGTCTCTTACCTACAGGCATTTAATATTTTTCTCTGTCAGACAGGATTTCCAAAGTTTCATACCATTGTTGTCACTGACTCAGTTGTGCTGCTGTTTCTAGTGTTGGGAGTGGAGCACTCTGGGCTTTCCTAGTGTTTTATATTCCAATCCTTCCCAAAGCAGTCTTAGCAAATATGTCTTCTACCCTGGGCATCCTCACTCATGGCAGAACTGAACCAGAAGTAGCAGTAGGATGAAATTTTAGTGGGGAAAACGTTGGTACAGTCACAGGCTGCATTGGGTATAGCCTCAAATGAATGGTACTGTACAAAAATATATGTGGTGTGGGGCTGTAAATATCCCACCCTCTTTGTTTCTCTCTAAAGAGAGAACAGCTATGTCCCCACACGGAGAAGGTAAGTACTGCATCTTTAAGGTCTCAGCAGTGAGGTAGAGGAGAGGAACATATTGTCAGTGTTTATACCTTTCTTCTTTGTTGAATTTGGGATTGGCTTCAGAGATATCCAGGCTTTTACTGAACATTGTTTTACTATGGCAGGAACAAAGCGAGAAAACAGAGTTACTAGTGTGGACATTTACAAAAGAGAGTCACCTGAAGCAATGCTGGACACCCAGCCCCCCAACCCATCCTCCCCTTTTTAAGCAATGCTCTGAAAAACCTTTCTTTTACTTTCCAACTATGGCTCAAGCCTACACAGTGCTGAAGTTCGTTATCTTCCCCTGACTTCTGAGGTCTAAGGTGACTCCCCCCATACATAAAGCATGTAAACCCTGCTCTCCTTTATCCAATTGAAAACCCAGGTACCATCTACTTTGTCACATTGTCCAGGGAAAATAGAACATGCCTGAAGGCACAAATTGCAAAGCGCTCATTACTCAGACTTTTCTAGAAGACTTCAACACTAAGCACAATCTGGGAAAAGGTTAAAATCAGACCATAGAGCCTCTTAGAGGAACAGTAATCCATTTTGTATTCTAATTTGTAGGGTCCATTACCACTTACTCCCAACTCTCTTCCCTATACTCAGTGTATAGAGAAATGCCCTTCTTTATCATCTTGGGTATGAGTCCCTGAAGCTTAGAAGCAAAATTCCCTATGTTTTGCTAAAGGGGCAGCTCTCTGTAATATGTTTCACTGGTAATATGCTTCATTGTTTCACAGAACACTGCTTCCTAATGTTAGCTGATCTTTCATGCAAGCTATCCACTTCAATAACCAGAAGAAAATGAATAGTTAATGAAGCCCATTTTAGAACAGTTTTTGGACTCTCTCAACAGAGCTGCTGAAAATTTCTGGTATATCCCCGAGGGATTCTATCTCCCAAGGAATTCTTCCTAGTCTGTGTGACTTTGGCACAAGGGACAAATTAGCTGGTGTTAAACTAAGCTCAGAACCTACCTCTTTTCTTTTGACATTTCAATGAAATACCAGATAGTCTGAGAGGTGTGGATACCACAACAGCAGAAGCAATTAAGATGTAATTATGAACCCGTTTAGTTGACAACTAGTAGGGAAAACCAAGAATTAACAAAACTTAGTCACCAGTTTTAGGATGGCTGGTGTTTGTGCATACTAACTTTGCCATATACAAAGACCCAATGGAGAACACTTGCAGAGGTCAGCAGAAGCATTTCAAGGAGTCTGTAAGCTCAACAAGCAGCCTTTGTGCTGAGTTCCCCTCCTCCATTACCCAAAATTAAGTCACTGAAGGACTATGATTTTCACTTAATACTTTCTCAGCCTGTAGGGTTGAAGGCTGCCAAGTTTCAAATCTCAATGGAAAGATAGGCCCTTAAGCCAAGACCAGACACTTGTAGGGTCCCCGCATGGTTACCAAGAGCACAGTTCATCACACACATAACCAGAGGTTATAACATAAATCCCTTTTATGCAAGCAAACATCTGTTTACTGCTGGGAAAGAGGACAATAGGACGAAATCACAAGACACATGGGTGTGTTCTGCCCACTGGTTAGAAGAGTATATCTGCCAGCTCAAGAAAGAAGCAATGGCTCTGTGTCTCCAGATGTTTACACAAATCATCTGTGTCTAAACAGGAGACCTGTTTCCATGGTCCACCTCCCTGTCTTCCTAGTATTGTAGGATAAAAGCACTGAATAGTCATCTGTTGAGACCAAAAAATGTCATTCTTAAAAAAGCATCCACTTCTGTTATCTAAGCCCTACTGCTGTAAAATCCACTATCAATGGGTCATTTCATGGAATATAATATGCGACTAGCCATTAAAAATCACCCACTCTTGGTGGAAGGCACTTGTAATTTTGTTACCGACTGTTCTGACAGATGGTGCCCCATCAGCAATGCATCGTCCCCTAACAATCCCCATGCAGTGGTGTTCATTAATGAAGCCAGTTCACGTTATAAATGACTGTGCTGCCAGCAACACAAAATGTGCCACTGTCATCTGTGGATGTGGATGGTATGAATTATGGAAGCTCACACATGGAGTAAAATAACATCTTCCCTTTAACCCCTTCCAAAACAAGCACTACCAAGCCCACCATCATCAGTCATGGTGTTATTACATCCCTTTCTCCACATTTAATCACACCTTTATGTCCAGCCCTGAGTTGTGGTATGTATTGCCCTGTATCTCTTTTGTGCCTGGCAGGTTTGACTTCCTCCTTAAACCAAAGCCCTTCTTTACTGATATGTAGCCTGGACATGTCTCTGCTCTGAACTCATCTCAGACCTTTTGACTTCAATTGTTTCCTCATGTGCAGAACTGAGTGAGACATTTAAAAGCAAAAGAAATACTCTGGATAGCAGACACAGCTTTGCCTCTTCAGACTTTGGAATCCAAACTCAAAGCTGAGAGCTGGAAGAGAAGGTGTCAGCTCTCAGAAAACATTGGGATCAATCTAACACATCCTATTTGTTCCGCCCAGTTGGACACTTACTGTAAACAGCTGCAGCGTACTGCAACTCACAGGCAGCCTTGGGGTGGGGGAAAGTGATTCACCTCTGTCTGGCTCTGGGAACTTCATGACCCATGCATCTACCAGGTACCAGATTAAACACTGCAAGCTGAATAAGGAGCGAGCAACTGTTTGTCAGTGTTGTGTTCATCCTTATCACTTTGAGGCCTATGGGGAACACTGAGCACACCCTGTCCTGAACACTTCCTTCACCCAGACCTCACATCAAAGCAAACCACATATTCAAGACAGGTTTCCAACCTACACTACAATGAAAAATCTTTATGGCAGTGTATCTCAAGGCCACATGTGCAGTTTGAAGTAAGTCCTAGCAGATTCTGTAAATCACCACTTTCTCCTCACTGTAGAACTGTAGCAGTTGCCAGCAAAACTTTTCCAGCAATTCTTGGGGCCTCTGGACATGAAATTATTTCACGTTCTTCACCCAGTTCTCAGTCAGCAAAGGGAGTTTCTGGGCACAGCAGGCTCTTTTTGAGCAGATCTTAACAGCTGAACAAAAAAAATCATGTAATAAAGCTAAAACAGAAGTTACAGCATGACCAGCATACATATATGTGAAGTGTTCTTTTATATTGATTGATTTATGCAAGTGTGAATCTAAATGCACGTGCTTCCCTTAGGGTAGTCATAGGGACCGAGGAAGCAACGTCCACGGTTCACATAAATGAACTTCCACAGTTCACTTGCTCTCCCAAAACCTGCCTTGAGGAGACACCATTTTCCTCTGCTGTTTCTCCACAAGACTGACACTTTCTTTGATAGAAAAGAGGCAAAATTATACACATTCCATCGCTTTACAGGCATGTCCTAATTTATGTGGGTCAGATGCATGCTGGCTCTGACAGCACATTTTAGAGGCATCTACAGATGCCTGGACAAGGCTTTCCAGATTCAAGCTGTTCTGATGACATGGAGGGTGGGGTTCATCTCATTTAACTTCGGGTGCCCAGAAGCTAGGCACCTAATCAAAGATAGTCATCTAGATTCCTGTTGTAGGCTATGGAGACAGAGAGGAACAACTGGAGGGTAATTTATCCCATCTAGGATGGTTGGAATAGAGGACATATGTATCTGAGACCTTCCAAAGCCCTCATCTGTCCCCATTGCCTAGAGTGACAGCCTGTATCACAAGCTTAGATTGAATGCCTATGTTCTTGACAATTAAAAAGAGGTGAGATGAATCCTGCCCAGAGGACGTGGTGGTTTCTTGAGCAATAGCTGCAAGCAAACAGAAACCTTAAGCCCCTGGCAGGACTTCTGGTCCTGTGTGCATAAGCGCTGCTGGTGGCCAGATCACGTTGCAAATGTGCTTAGAAGTTGTAATGAGTGCTGGTGCGAATAGAAAAGCTCCACAGCTTCTTGGTATGTATAACATAAAAGGGGGTAGCAAACCCAGACAGGCAGGACTCCTGGGTAAAGGAGAGACCCACCTCTGTCCATGTTGTGCCATTTCAATAGCTCTGCGAGCAGGGACTGGGGAGCCGCCATCTGTCACACTGAGAACCTCCATCGACTTCCTTTCTGGCCGCCGCTTCCCATGCCTGTTCAGCATTGGGGAGTCCACACGCTTCCTGGGGGGATCTTTATGAAAAGAAAATGCTGTCAGCTGAATTTGGCTGTGACTTACCTTACACAGGTTGGTTAAATCCTCTCTCAACAATCTCACTCTCACACCTCCCCTGCAGAGACAGGTATCTTCGTGATGGAGATGATAATTTGCAGTCTCTCCCTTCTTCCAAATTTGCAAACATTAAGACATAAGTTGCAATCCATCTACAGACAGAAGGAGCACTGCTACTGCCCTGAATGTACGAGTACTGTAAAATAAAGGTACAACTATAGGATAGCTTGCAGAAATTACCTTACAAAGCTGATAACAGTAATAACAAGATGACAGCATGGGCTATAGCACAACCTGTTAGCCAGAGTATAAGCCATCTAAGGATCCTGTACATGTATGCAGGTTGCTAGAGCTTGCCTTCGATGTCCCTGGTAGCTAGATTAAATGTGACACAGAGACGTAAGTACACTCTGAACTCAGAATTGCATTCTCCTCTGAAAACATACCCTTTTTTTGCATCTTTAAGATTAGATTTCAGGTTTTCCCTGCTGCTTTATATTTTTCCTCCTTCAGCATTACAAATTAAACATACTTGTCTACCTGAGACAAATCTCCAATGAGAGCTACTAAAATTTATCTCAGAGGTCATCATACAGCTTTTACTGCTATAGCAACGGAAGTGCTTTACACTTTTTATTGTGTAACATTTCTATGAGGTATTGAAGGGCTACTTTCACTTTGCAGAGTGAAAACTGAGATATAAGAATGAGATATTTAAAGGCAATTCATTCCTAAAGGTGCTGAGAAACATTTACTGCAGTTCTGAGGAGCACCTAAATTGCTCTGAAAAGAGTCTAGATACCAAACCACACTGCAGAAAGTGCTCCTAGGTGACTTGCCAAACCATACACACCTCCATGGTGAAGCAGAGAACCAAATGCAGACATGCTGAGATGTTTTATTGTTAACATCTCTCATGGCATCAAAACAGTGAAAAGAAGGAAGGCAGAAAAAAAATACAGAAGGATTTTCTTTTCTTTAGTTGGGCTATTTCAGTTCCCTGCCTCCATTTATAGACACATTTTAGCGGAGGGTAACCACCTGTAAAAAAAGGCATCTTTTAGCGCTGCAGTTAGAAAGAAGTTCACAGTGCCCAGCTCCTAAGGCTTCTTCCTCTGCCAGGATTCCTTTGTAAAACAGTAATATTGCATTTGACAATTCTACCTCTACTGCCTAGTCTGATGGTATTATTTTTATTATCCTGCCATCCTCACGCCCCCCATCTGCTTGCTTGTTTCTTCTCTCTCTTACATTGTATTTTTTAGAACAAGATCCCTTTAAGGCAGGGCTTATTCTTGAAACAACGAGCATGAGCAAAGACAGCTCAAATGCAAATGGGCTAGTGATAACAACTGACCCCATTACTGTATAACCCAAATATTCTTTGTATTAATGGTAATAATTTTCCTGTTAAAAATTAATTAGAAAAAAAGCAGTTGTATCTCACTCCATTTCAAACTACGTCCAGTAATAAAAAGGTAGTAGAAAATACTAGTAGGGGTAATGACCTCCAGATTAGGAAAATATATAGTGCATAAAGTTAAGGGAAAAACAAAGGGAGATAAACCTAATAAAGCAGTTATACTGGGTGACTTCAGCTGCACACATATAAGTAGTCAAAAATAAGCTGGGACAAGGTTTAGACATTTCAAACTCCTGCTTCTTTAAACAAGTTCAAAGAATGAGAAAGGATTCATCCCACAGGACAACTCCTGGCATCAGAAGTGTGACTAGAGCCGAGTAACACACATAACAACAATGTAATTACGTTTGCTATCAACAACAGAGAGTTGATACAAGTTTTGCAGAGGGATATGAGACATTAGAAAGGAAGGTGGAAGAGTGCAGTATAAAAGAAAGGAAAAAGAAGGAAGAAGAAGGAAGATGAAGAAAGCAGTTAATGCCAAAAGAATGGAGATGAGTAAGTTCAAACTGCATCACTGTTAGTTAATAATAGAGTCTAAACAAGAAAGATGGAAAAAGGCAAGAAAAACATTTTATGAACAAGTATTTTAAAAGGCAATTTGATCCAAGCATGTTCAAAACAGAAGACTTCAGCAACTGGAAATTTAGCTGAGTGACACTTACAAAAGTAACAGGCCAAATATAAGATGGACATTAAAAGAGAGGGAAGAAGAAATCTGAAGAGGAATTAGCTAAAGACTTGAATAACTGTTTTGTACAGCCATCAGAAAGAGAAAGCTTGAGAGAAGGACAGTAGCCAGAGGGACCATGAGGGAATCAACAGAACAATTAAGGAGGAGATGTATATTGCTAACAAGCTAAATGGTGCTTTTATATCAGTCCTTGCTGCTAAAGATGCTGGAAGATACTGATTTCCAATCTATATTTTAAACTATCAAAGAGAGAGATTAAGCAAAAAGAGCACGTGGTGAAACACACCAATAAATTCAACAACAGCAATTCACAAAGGTTTGATGGAAAATACATCCAGAAACTTGCATGAATGTGGTTGAGCTTCTAACAAAGGTATTTGATTCCTCTTTAAAATTGGCTACAATCCTACACTATACATGGCTGAGGGTAGCAAATATTGTACATATTTTTTAAACGAGTCTGAGTAAGAAACAACAGGGCACTGAGTCTGTCATCACTGTCAAGTCTAAAGATACTAAAGAAATAGCTAAATACACAGCCATCCTGCCATAAAGATCAAAGTGGTGTCACATAAAAGCAGTAGAAGATTTTGCAGAAGCATGGGAATTAAAAATAGGAAAACCTCTGGTGTTTGACCTTCTCTTCTTGACTCTCTGGAAATATTTCACATGGGAAAAAAAATCAAGTCCTAGTCTGGATCAGTGATAGTTTTGGGGATGCATTTTCCTTTTATTTCACGTCAGAAAAGTGAAGCCATTCCTAAGGATTTTTACAGAGGAAGAGAGAATCACATAGGTAATGGTCCAATTATAAAGGCATTGATCTGGAAGGTGGGAAATAAAGGTTCAACTTCTGAGTTTGGATGAGGCACCTATATCCTATATGGCTATTCTGGCCCAATCTCTTGTTCTCTGGTTAAGAAACTCCTTTATTTATTAAGAAACTCCTTCTTTATTAAGAAACTCCACTCCACAAAAGCCTTTTCCTCAAGGAAACATTATTTAACACTCATTCATTTTACTGAGCAGTTTCTCATTTCTGTGTTTTCAGGTAAAGAAAATGGAGCTGGACTCAAAAGATGGTGAAGGTGGCCCTTCCCTGGCCCTTTGAGAAAGCTTTATATAGCTAAAACATACAAAAGGGAGACCAGAAGAGAGTGCTAGTCTGGGCTGGCCGTATTTTTACCCGCATCCATCCCTTCTGAGACCTAACATGCAAAGAAAGAGGAAAAAGCAAAATATTCTGAGATGCACTTTTTTTTTTCTGGCAAGAGCTCAGGCAATGCACAACTCTCATGAATGTGGTTTCTTCAAGCTGCTGTTATTAAATCTGTTACTTTTTCTCTGCTATTCTTTGTTTGTGCAAGGCCATTGCTAATGGCTAATGACGAGATATTCATCAGAAGCCTGACTGTTCTTAATTAAACCTTGCCCCATGTTCTCAGAGATACTGCTGGGAACAAAGGAGGTGGAAACCCCCTATGGAAGAGGAAATACAACCTACAAACACTCAAAGAATAATGCTCAAAGAGTCTAAAATGTGCCGATAAGGCACAATGATACATTCAGAGTAGTGTTTCCCTGTTGCGGAACATTTTCACTCCTTGTACAAAAAAATACAAGAGTAGAGCATAATATTTCAGTTCAAACCATGAAAATACTTTGGCATGTGGAAGAGAGATATATGATGTATTTAGGGCATAGCTACGTATTCACTTACATGATAGATATGAAGATTCTAGAGTCACCTTGCTTCTTTTCTTATGACAAAAGCATTTCTAAAACAAGACGATGGCATCCTTACATTGCAGGATAATCTGTTTGAGTCAAAAGCTCATTAGTAAAGTGCTAGATGACAAACTGCACTGAACAAGGGGCTTTTGACTACAGGACCTGCAGTTAGCACATCTACCCATCTTCATCAGGATCCCTGCTAACATGCTCTCTGTAGCTCCATCCAGGTAAGAGTTTAAAAATTACTGTGTTGACTAAGAATGTCCATCTCTTCTCTCATAGAAGAGATTTCCCTCCAAAATTATAGGGCCTGGAGCCTGGAACTTGGATAAGGTAATAATTCAACGGAGTATTAACAAACCTACAGTTCAATATACCACTGCCCTGTAGGCTTGGGAGAATCCACGCTTTCCAGTGAAAATAAAGAGCACTTTGCTTCTAGCCTTCAAAGTTCTGAAATACAATACCTGAAAATCACAACACTATCATGTAAAAATGCTATTTCAGGTTATTGATAGAAGTGAGTAATCCTTTATTAGTTAAACTTTTGTCACTCTGCACAGCAAGATTCACTTATATAGTTAGCTCCTCAGGGAATCATTTTTTCTGTTGTCTAGATCAGTGAAGTCCTTGGCGATCAGCAGTACCCTAAAATACTAATGAAAAATTCTTCAGGAATAAAGTGGTATCACCAGAGTTTTATAAGATATATAATCTTACTGCATATTAAGCTTTAAAAGTCTTTTTAAGATAGCCTAAAAACATGGGAGTTTGATGTATGTACTAGAAACAGGTATGTGATATTACTCATACTTTCAACAGTGTATATATTTACCTACAGAAAAGAGAATGTGTACATATATAACTCCATAGGGATGCAATGCTACACAGTCTTACCAGCTCAAGTCCAGAAGCAGCATTTCTGCAATACTGCATGTAGATTAGTAATTAGAAAATTCTACCACTAGACTACACTGCTTATAATCCTCATCTGCTTGCACAGATCCAGCTTGTGGGTCCACATGATATTTTTTAAGATCTGGTTCAAGACCAACTTGGATGTTTCTGCACTGTGAGACAGACATGTCCTGAAAAATGAAGCCTTCGAGTTTAACCACAGAACAGACCTGCCTGCCTCAGGCTGAGGATTCTCACTAATGCTGTACACCGTTTCAGTGGGAAGGTAACAGTGATACTAGGGTTTGGGTATATATTTAAAAAAAAAAAAAAAAGGTGAAGAGGAACTAGTTGAGATGGGTTCATGGTGACAGAGGTCATATCTGCAGTACCTATTTCATTTCTAGGGGGAAGATCCTCATCTTCATGACTAGGATACCTCTCCTTCCGGTCAAGCAGAAGAAAATAAATCATTTTCTCTTGGTTTTCTCTGAAAAAAAGAAGAAAAATCTTTAAATTTGAAGAGGAAAAAACATCAACATGTAGATAAACCATTCTCATCAAACAAACAGTTACAGTTATTCTAAATAAGCTGGAAATGGTCATGTACCTGCCAGCTAGATACACAACCCACAAAGCTTTTGAGAATCTTGCTGTCTCCAACAAGCAGCTAGTGAGAAAAGGAAATATGATTCCCATGTTACACATACAGAACAGAGGCACAGGACAGACAAGGTAACGTGTCCACAGGAACTCCAAACCAAGACTGGCAGCAAGACAGGTCTCCTGAGCCTCTAAGTGCTCTTTCTACTACATGCCTCTCTTAACACCTCAGGAAGTACACCAGCTCTCAGGCGTAAGCTTGAAATAAATGAGAATTTGCCAACAAAGGCATATCCAACACAAATAAGAGCAATGATACTTCTCCATTCGGACTGCATGGCCCATCTTTTCAGGAAGTGACCTTGCCTGGCAGCAAGGGAAGAGACAGCACCATGCCTCCGTTGCTGGTCACGCTGTGAGCTTCTGACACACGGTGCAAGAAAGGCTCAGTACTTGCTCCCAACACCTCACTAGCAAATGAGCAGCCAGAGGGTGAGAAGTTGCTACTGGTCCCTCACAGCAAGATACATGTTAAAGTGATCTCTACCTCTCCCCAGGTTTATAAGTATCCCAGCCCGTGGACACCCAACTGATATTAAGACTGAGCAAGTGCTTACTCTTCCGACAACAAGTCCTGTAAGAGTTTGTTTCGGTCACGGAAGCAGCCTAACGAGTGCATGCTATCTAACACATCTGGATCAATATCCTCCAAGGAAGGGAGAGAACGAATCTGCACCTTTCGAGGGATTGGTTGCTCTGGTTCTGGCTCGTTCTTACCCCCTCTGCAGAGGAAAGAAGACGAGAGAGAGAAAGGGGGCAGGGAAAGAAGGAGAGAAAAGAAACATGAGTCACAAATGAACCCGTACTCTGAAACACAGCCTGCAGCAACAGATGGAAATAGCTTGTTAAATTCCCACTGAGAGACCAGAGCTCACAACCAGACAGATATTCTTTTCAGAAGAAACTGCCGTGAAGGCTAAGAGTGACCAGCACCTTGTGGATTTCGGTCTTTAGTGAGAAATGTCTGTGTTCAGTCAGAAAGGCAGTAGGAACTTCACTTACCAGTGCCCTCGTAATTTAAGCAGCTGTTCAGCGTCCTAATGCCAAACATTTACAAAACACTACGCAGTTTTAGAGATGCTGTCTCATTAGCAGGTCAGACCTCAGGTTATCAGGCTGAAAAGTGCAAGCTGAATGATTCTCTTTCAAAGAAGGAGCTGTGAACAAACCATCACTGTTTTTCACCAATTCTGATTACAACTGGCATTGCAGCAATTTCTTTCTTTAAAGCTTCCAATGTGATTAAGAGACCTCAGTATTCAGGTCTCCACTTGACACACTTTAAAGGGTTTTTGGGGAAACCAGGCTGTCTATTTACACGCCCAAATACAACAAACTCTGCTTCTCTTCAGACATGCAAATTTGAAAATTGTGGCCCAAGTGTGATGCCCAAGGTCAGCGGCAGTCCTAGGAATACACCATTAGTGGTAGAGCATATTACTCTTTTAAAAGTAGTTAACACAGGCTTTCCTGCATAATTATCTCATCCCATTCACTAGACTCAGGAAATATTGATTATTCATTGCAGTTAAAGGCCCTGACTGTAAGAAACAGGTCAAGGTGTCAGGGTATCTATAACCGACTGAATGATATATATTACAGGCACCCTGAATATCCTTTGATTTCGTTTAGGTAGGCAGTAAGCAATTTATGTAAACTCTATCCACCCAAAGAGGTGGGTATGGCGGTGGCGGTGTTTTGGTTGGAGAAACTGTCTGCCCTGAATCTTTTCTATTTCTCAATGGATGCTTTGTGCTATGTTGAGGTTTTCCTGCTCTGTGGGTGAGGTCTTCCCTTTCCTTTATGTGATGTAAATGTGTGACTGTTGGGTCCAGGCTCCCAGGGTGGGCAACAGGAATCGGGAATATTTAAACTGCACCAGATGTCAGTGTTTGCTGTTTATGGGGCTGTGTTTGGGCAAGAGATTCTTCCTTTTGACGCTGGCAGAAATAAGGTGAACACAACTTGTGAACTTACTCACACAGCTTAAAATGCTCTGGGCTCAGATGTGAGCTATCCAATTATCTACACAGAAAAAGGAGCTCCAATTCAAATGCACCTATTTTTTCTTGGGTAGGTTAGAAAGCAACGCTGGTAGGATCATACACGTGAGCTCAAGGTCTCAGCCAGTGCACCAAAAAAAGAGCCAATGCAGATTATCTCCTCCAATGTAAGAAGGCAATACTATGTCATTGCAGCCAGGGCTCTGATGCTGGGACAGAACAGTTACATGCTTCACCTTAATCACAGGAGATTGCTGGGTGCTACTTGCAATTTAAGTTGAAATGCAGTTGTGAGGCATCTGCTCTGTTAACCATGTTTGTGGGACATCACTTGCAGAAAGACTCCTCAGAAATTTTCATTTTATCTTCTCTTGAAGCAGTGAAAATGTGCTCAGCCCTTCCTGGATACGTGTCATGGAGCCAGACTCTGATGTGTGTTACGTGGGTCATGACAACATGGGTCAGATCCCACTTCTGTTACACTGAGCATTCACACACCCCCTGCTCAGTTTTATTCAGTTTAGGGGACTGGAAGCAGAATATACAGGACAGAGACAGAATCTGCTCCTGGGGATTCGTTCTTGTGTGTCAAACCACTAAAACAGCTTCTGACACCTCCTTGGAGTCTTGCAGAAGGGTCTATGTATTCTGCAATGACACCATGGTCCTCAATCTAAGGGCTAGATTCAAAAATCCTTGTTCAACTAAAGAAACACCTTATTCCTCGAGTGCCCTGTCTTTAAGAGGTAGCTACTCCGACCTCTTAGGATCAGGATCTAGCTCTCAGCAAGTAATAAGCAATGATTAGATCATAACCTTGCACTATTAAAGCCAGTGATGACCTTGTCATTAAGATAAATTCTTGCATGATGGACCTTTGAACAGCAGCTGAGTGTTTTTGTTTTTTAATGATCTGGAGTTCACTTTTAAAAAGTATTGACTTAATTAATCATTCATTATATCACAAGCAGATGTCCTTAAGGTACTTTAAAGAGATTAAAAAGAATTATTGATTTTGAAAATTTCCAGAAAATCTGGGTTTCCTACTAGGTGCCTTAGTCTATAGCAGAATATCACCTGCAAGCTTCTTTTATATCAATCAGAGTGGGAGCCATTTCTAGAGAGCACAGCTTGCCATCTTCTGTGTACTGAAAAGTGGCTTTTCCTTATGCCCTGCACCTGGTCAGCCTCAGACATAGTCAGGAATTTTCACACATTCTCATCAGGTACAAGCATATTCTGCAGAGGTGCCTCGTCATTTGGCAATGCAATTCAGTGCTTCAGGAAATGAAAATCACCGGATCTGGGCTGTGATTGGCATGACTGTATTGCCTCTTCTATTCTCAGTCTAGCAGAGAGTGACAAATTTGTTGCATTTCAGCCCACACAGACATCAAACAATGTCACACAATGAATACTGCAAATCATGTATATTTTTTAAAGGCTCACATGAATGTAATTGGTGCTTTAAAACCCATCCTCCTTTGCAAGGATAGGTGCCTACAATGGCTGTGATTCCAGACCAGGGTGGACTTTTTCAGTCTCTCCATGAAATTTCCTCGTGAACCTCACCAAGATGCACATTTGCATCAGTGCAAAGCAAAGCAGAACCGGTACAGTTACTCTTTTTCAGATTTTAGTAAATTTGGTACCTTCACAATTAGGGCAATAACTCAGTGTTACAGGAGTATGTATTTACCATAAGAGCTAATTTTATTTGCCCTCTTGCTTTATTAAAAAGATGTAAAAATAACTGTTATTTGCTGATTTATGATAACCTGCGCTTGAGGTAAAAATAAATGATTTCAATTTAAAAGGCTTAAAAAACCTCATTAAATTAATTTGGGTGGGAGAGCAAGAAGAACGGGAGGTTGGTGATGAAAGGTTTCTCTTTGGTTTCTTTTTTCCTTTTTTTAGGCTTGTGAATGATGATTTCAACTTTCAAGACCTCTTTCTCTGTCTGCCTAGTCTGCAATTAAATAAATCTTTTCCTCAGTTTTACAGTAGCCTTAATATTTATTTGAAGAATTAAGTGAACTCACTTATATGTTCTGAGTACAACTTTCAGGTCAGTAACCTAGATATGACAAAGAATGAAGATTTTACATAGAATAGTAGTGTTACATGAAATAAAGAAAAAATGAAAGATGTGAGAAAAACAGCCACTTATAATCTCTCTTTCTCTGTCAGCATCAATATTTCCAGGCAAAATGAATGCAAAGAGGCTGTGAAACATTACCAGATGAAAGTAGTTGAGTTCTGGAGGTGGCAGGGTTATTCACAGACTAAATTTAGCCAAAGGAGGTTAACCTCCTTAGGTCAATCCATGGCCAGTATAGAGAAAATGAGAAAGAGACTCATTAAAAAAGCTGTTTTGAGCAGAAACTTCATTTTAGGCAATCTGAACAGACTTCTGGAAGAGCCTTTCTCTCTATGCATTGACTACACTGGGAGTCTAGGGGAGACTTGCTTTTGCAAAAGTCAGTTTCTACTTCTGAAAACAGCCTCACATGCCATTTCCATTGGGGTAAAAACCTGTTTACAGACATCAGAGAGTCTGACCTTCATCCAGAAGTACACGAAAATGTTCAAACGCTTATGTCTGCAAAGAAAAAAATTTTCAAATTCTAAATCTAGAATAAAGTCATGAAATAACACCTGCCTAATTGTGCATGTGAGCCTGGGACAACAGTCCTCCGACAGGTGAAAACTTCAAGGCAAACATCTTGCGGAGGGTTACAATAATAATACAAGCGATCAATGACATTTCATTTTATTTCCCATTCCAGTTCTGATCAAAGCACAGAAAGTCAGCTGATTTCACTCCATGGAGAAGCAGAGGGGATCAACTATCCAGTCTGATGTAAACAGCATTTACTTCTGGAATTGCTAGTAAGACATTACAGGAGGGGTATTTTAGAGATTATAATTAGAGATTTCCCCCCTCCGTTTCTCCTACATTTATCCATGAGAGTTTAAAAAAAAAAATACCTGCAGCAAACAACACTCCAGTCCTCCTTTGGTTTAAAAAAGTGCCATGTCAACTGGTTACTGTAGAGAGCATGAAAAAGCCATGGGCAGAGTGCTGCCACCATTTCAGGTGAACTAAGAAAAAAACATGTTATTCAACAAACTGTTGAATGCCCTCAGGTCCTATCAAAGTCAGATAAATCCAGAAGTGAACATTACCCATAAGATAGAATTAGAGAAAACAAAACAAATCAAAACAAAGGGGCTTTTTTTTCCTGGTGGCAGGCTTAAATATCAGTTCATATCATCCTCAAGTATTTCCCAAGAGCAATGATAGGATTATGAAGGCAGGACTTTCCTTATCACCCACCTGGGGAACCTGTAGGTATGCTGACCTCCAGAAGTATGTATCAAAGCATCATTTCCTTGTTTAGTATGTGAAGTATTTTCCTTAGTTTGATTAGGTTATCATCAGTATAAAAAAAAATGTTATTTACTTAGGTTTCTTGAAATACTATTAAGGCTACACAAAGTGCAAGGTCACTTTTAAAAGCCATCAATCTTCCTTATACCCAAACCACTAGACAGGCGCGTACTTTTCTCACAGACCTCCTGTTTCACTGTCAAGACTGCTGCTTTTAATCAAGTCACAGAACTACTCTCACATCAACAGGTTACGAGGTCAGAAGCAGCCTCTTAGCTTGCTGCGAAGAAGAAGGAGTAGGGATTATGAGACAGAAAAGCTCTTGTTCACAGGTGCTTACTTATCAATATCATCATTTTTGTTTCTACTTCAGAGAAAAGCCAAGATGCCAAGAAGGAACAAATGAAAGCTTTCTTGTCAAGAAGGTATTGCAAGGGATTGACTGTAGCACTTGGATAGCAAACTAAATATGGCTGTTAGTTGGGGGGTTTTTTTGCTGATCACTTGCAGGTATCTTTTTTAACACAGTAAGTTGCTGGACTGAATGTCTTACTTCAAACAATTGTTAGCCACTGTATAAAAAGCTCCTGGCTTGATATATATATAGATGAAATTACATGAGTAGCAAAGGGTAAAAAAAAAAAACATTAGATGCCTTTCTGTCCTCTGCCCCTTTCCCCACCTGTGTGAAAGCTGCTTTCAAACTCCAGTCTCTCTCTTGAGAGATCACTAGAATATCAGCTCCCATAACAGAACCAATAATGAATGCATGCAAAAGTGAATTAAAAAAGTGTTACTTACATATACCATATGTGTTTCTGAATATGTTCTAGCTGTAAAGGAAAAGAAAACAAGGAATTAGTGCTGTAAAACAGAAAAGGTAACTCCACAAGACATCCTTATTCAAGGCATATTCAAGTAAGTCCGACATTCCAGAGCTGGATCTGTGCAAACAACAGGAACTTTATGCTGCATGAAGAGCATGCTCATCCTCACCCGCCCCACTGAAAGTGAGACTATCATTCCGGACGTAAGGAATCAGTCAGGACCAAATCCCAGGAAAATGCATAAGTACAAGGCTTCACAGGCAAGTGTTTTGGCAATTTAAGTTTCTCCCTTCCCAAGCCCTTCCCCTCTATAATCTAACTGAAGCTAACAAACTGCTCCTTTCTGTATGTGCTTAATAGCTGATTCTTTACACCTAAAGTTCATTTCTAGTTTTGTTTTGGAAAAAAGGAGAGATAGAGACAAGGAAATAGAAACAGATTCAAACAGATAATGTGAATAAACAAAATAAATTGTGCATGTGTGATATGACCTTCTGCCAGGACCCATTCTTCACTGGCTTCACATTTATCATTAAAACCTAAAGACCAAGTAGAATAAGGTTCTATGTCAAAACAATACCATTTATTGTTCCAGCACCTGAACACCAGACTGCAAATTTCTTTTACTTCCTTCTTTCCTGTTTCATACATGAGCATTTTATTATGTAATGAAGGACTAATCAAAGGTGAAGAGTGGCCTTGTCTCCCTATGAAAGGTAGATTCCAGCAAATGTTACACGATGATCATGTTTTCCACAAGCATAGGGGAAAGAAAGTAACACCCTTTTTCCAAGAGAAATTCGTAACAGTAGAGAGAACAAACTGTTCATATGACATACTTACAGCATAACCTTCCTAATCTGTTTTTTTTGAAGCATCATCACAGTAGAAAAGAACTTTTCATAGATGCCCAGGGATTATTCATTATGCGGACAATATTTCTCATATTCCTCATTATGAAGCACCTTTGTACGTGCAGAACAATATGCACACTCACTGCACACAGGCTTGCATTTGCGCAACATACAGGTGAGAGGCAGGGGAGAGCTGGAAGGAAACTCAAGTGCTAACAGCTATAAGATGAAATCACAGACCCATTAAACTGGTCAGGAAGAACAGAGACAGCTGTCCTGCTCTTATTACTTTCCACTTCAATTCCAGAATAATGAGAATCAGAGAGAAAAAAAAAAAAGAAAAAAAGGAGGAACGGACAAACAACAAAATCTCAGAGATAGAAAGTAGGTGTTTGCCACAGAGAGCAAGGAATCAGAGAACTCTGTGCTATGGAACAACAGCTCCGTCCCTGGGAAACCAGGAAGATCTGAGGTTGGCTCTATATGCGATTGTTTTTAAAGTGAGACAGGGCTTTTCCTGAAAACAAAGAAACAAGGGAATGCAGCTTAGGAAAGCATGACAGGAGGCTGGAGGGAGTAGTATGAGAGGCAGCCTCCTTTAAAACCAAGACTGTATCAACACTGCAATCAGAGGTGCAGTTAGTACTTGCATATCTAGCTGTCTTCTAACCAGCCCAGGTGCTGGGAGCACCAATGGCCCCCAGCACACACATCCACAGGCCCAGGCAGACTTGCACAGCATCCAGCTGTGGCCTCAGCTCTGCCACAATAATTCCCCTTCATCACAATTCCCCTTTCATTAGGTAGTTCTTTAATCCCTGCACTATTAAGAGAAAGATGGAGTATTCCTGACACACTGCCATCTCCCCTGACCAGCCTAACTCAAGGAGATAAGATACACATTATGGGTGTTCCCCTAACAGCCTGGAGATGCAGCCCTCTTCCTCCTGGTTCTTTACAAGCTGAGGTACAAACACAGAACATAAGAAGAGCCTATTTTGTACAGTTTCCATGGGACAGGATTTTAGCATCGTTACTTACCAGGTCCATAGTACTGTGAGGATCTGCTAAGGAGTGTACTGTACCTCCTTTGCTTGGTAAAACCACCCTATGAGATGCATATCTACTTGCTATTTCATATATACCACATGGAGGGTTAGAGACATTAATGATTTCAGACAAGATGCAGATGATACAGCTAAGCGATGTCCAAGCCTCTTTCATGCTTGCTTCTCCTGCTGCATTTTCTGTCTCCATGGGTCACATTGTTCTTTTGTGCCTGTGATATGCAGAAATGCCATGGCAAAGCAGACAACGGCACTTTGTTTTCTGAGTCAGAGAGGGGGAAGAAAGGAGGGTCACCAGTTCATGTCTTAGTCACAGAACCTCTGGGCTCCTTCAGAGAAATGTCAAAGAGAAATCCCTTCTGCTCATCCCTGCTGATCAATCTCGTTCAAGCTAATGAACCCATAGCATTTTTCTGAAAGAGAAGCCTTGTAGCACCTTGATATACACTCAAAGGTGTATGAGAGCTCTCATGGCTGCTGTTTACCTACACATCTGCCATTCAATCCACATCAAAACCATTGCTGTGAAGTACTTTAGGATATCCCAGATAAGAAAAGTATTCTACAAAACCAATTTCTATTCTGATTCAAATGTAATTGCATTGAAATGTTATTACAAGTGTGCTTGCTGCTGCCAACATCTTCACTGCTTTTTTAAAGGTAATTAATTAATGCTTTGTTGCTTTTCATCTGCATTAAAGTGACAGGAGGGTTATGGGAGGGCGATTGGTTTTGACAAGGAGAAGTCTGTATGCTTTTTACTATGCAATGCAGGGGAGGGAGATACACAGTGGGAGCTAATCTCACTCCTCCTGCCTTCATTTAAACACAATGTTTAAATGCATTTAAGTGACGAAGGCATTTAACAACCCTTCCCAGAGGGTTCTTCTTGCTGTTTGCACATGAGTTTGCCAAATTTAATGCCATTTTATGGAAGTTGTAAAAATGCTGCTTCCTAATATCTCCTAGCCACCGCAGGCAATTGTCTCATGACACCATCTCTGAAACAACAAAACATGCTCAGATTCATTGCACATGCACAGTCAGAGGAGAGACTTCTGCAAGCTAAAATGCTGTAATGGAAGGAGAGGAGGAATTCCTTTATCATGGTTTTACGTAAAAATACTTCCAATATATATTAAACTTGTATACTGAAGTAGCATCTAGGAGCGCCACTCACAGATGAGAGACCCATTGCGATACAGAGCTGTACAAACTCATCAGAAAAAGAGGTCTCCTCCCCCAAGGAGCTTACGTCTGAACTGTAAGGCAGGGAACAACAGATGGAGGCAGACGGGCAGATGGAAAACAAGACAGTGCTGTCTACATCCTCGGCACTGATCTCAGCAGAGTGGTTGCCAAGCTAAGAAGTTCTGACCTGAAGAAAAACTTCTCAGAGTCTGTGGATATGGATGAGGGCTTCTGGGCTTGAACTCATGTCAAATTTCAGACTTCCCTGTCCAGAAAGAGAACAGTCTCAAACCCATCTGTGCCCCACACCTCAAATGAATCTTCTTCATTCAGAAGATCCTCTGGTCTCAGCTTTAAACCTACTGTATAATGTCAAGATAGAGGCTTTCCCTGACCAAAGGATTCAAGCTGGCAGTGCAAACAGCACTGGTAAAACCATTATCTGTGTCAGTAGTAGCAGCTGTACTATAGCAGCCTCCAGGGACCTTGACAAGGGCAAGGTATCACTGTGCTACGTGCACAGTGCATGAATAGGCCCTTGGCAGCCAAAAGCTTACAGCCTAAATACATCAACTGGACAATTACCTCCATTCTACAGGTGGTGAAGAGAGATAATTTAAATGATGTGATAGGCACCTTACCATAAGACCTGGAAAAATGAAGAAGGAATCAGGCTGTGTTTTCCCGTGTTCATTTTTTTAACATTCTTTAGATGCTGTGGTCTATCATTAACATACATCAGACCCCAGAAAAAAACAAAATCAAACAGAGAGCAGAGGGGAGATTCTTTAAATGTGTGTAATTTAAGTTGGATAATATTCAGGGACAGGTATTTCAGACTATGTGGACACCCAACATGGAAGACAAGTCATTATACTCTGGAATAAAATGTCAACACTGGAACAATAACAGCTTTATCAGAATAGCTTATTCTGCAATATCTGCTCTGATCCACCTTGCTCTACAAAGTTTCGATAATGCTCATCCAACTTTAAAAGGGAAGTGGATCAAAAGCTCCTTACTCTCCCCCCTTTGCCTTTGTGTTTCTGTAGAAGAAAATATCAGCTGAGAATGCAAATGGATTCCACTACAGGAGCTGTAATTCTCTGCTGTAGAGATGCTGAATCATTTGAAACCTCCAAGGAAAAAAACATCCACTTTCTGAAGAGCACGTAACTAAAAGAAACCTCATCCTGTAGTACTGCAGGCACTGAGAGCACTCATTCTCTTCTATAAGAAGGTTTATACCTTCTTAAACTTAAAACTAGTTCACTTTTTCCTCCTGGCACTAGTCCTACTAGAGAGCTGTCCCAGAACCCCACTAATATGGCTAAAATGCTCCTTCTAATTTCTAGCCTGCTTTCATGTAAGGCCATTTGACATACCTTTGTTTTTGTGCCAGTATCTTCCTTTAGTTTAAATAATCCTTCTCTCCCTGGTAAATTACCTCTAATGAATACGCAGACAACCAGTAAAACCCTTCTTAGACATCATCTGCGTAGACTTAAGTGGAGCTCTTTTAGGCTGTGCTATTCAGACAGGCTCTCTCAAATGCTGACCACCTCAGTACTCATTCTTTGTTTGACTTCATCTTTCCTGAACATGGGTGGTCAGAAATATCATGACCAGCAGCTAGGATCAACATTTGCAGTCTATTGAAAGAAAAACATGGATTCTTTTATTTCAAAGCATGTTTAGCAAAACAGGCCCAGTAAAGGAGAGCGGTCAAGGATGTCCCACTAACCATACTTGAGGCTACGTAACATATGGTGAGCATGAACAATATTCCACTAAGACGTAATAAAGTCTTCTTTCCATAAATGAATCATATACAAAGAAAGGTAATGCCTATTTCTTAAGGCAGGAAAGGGCAAGCAACAGTAATTCTGAGTAGTCTCCTCTCCATTAATCCTCTCAAGCTCTAACACTGAAGCCGAATGATGACAGTTAAACGTGAATGCTAGTTCTGGTTTTGTTGATCATTTTAACAGATGGACTGGGGAAGGTGTGGGTGTGCTGTGAAATGGCAATTACTGCAGGGAGGGAAATGCAGTTGGATGAAAAGGAAAAGAGATACAAATCAAAAAAAGGAACAAAGCAGAGAGGGGAAGGGAAAAATGAAAGAAAAAAATTCTAATGACCCTACATTTCACTGTATTTTTCTGCTGAATTCACCAGTTAGATATTGAGCAAATGATCAGTAATGGTAACAACTACATCTGTACTTACTGTACCCAAGCCACAATTTCACTCAGATCTTTGTATAAATATCAAATTGATTCAAGCGAGATATTTTCTAGGAATAGAGGCTTCCAAATAAACCCATATTTATACCCTTTTTCACAGGACACAGCTAAAATAGAATTCAGATCTCTCCTCAAAATGAACTATATATTCCCAGCTCCTGTGCGGTAAACAAAGAACTCCCCTCTGCCTGGCAATCTAAGCAACCGGCACACTAACAGCATAGAGAGGGAAGTGTGACAGCAGCAGGGACAGCAAATCGAGAGACTCCAAAATAATGAAAGTAAGATTGCAGTTAATAACAAAGAGCTATCCTTTTTTCCTCCCAGCTCTCAGCTCTTGAATACGTTTTATTTCAAATTGTTATTCACAATTCACTGGTTAGTGCTTGTCAATAACTATCTGATCTGGTTTTTTTTCATCCCTAAGGAAAGGAGAGCTTCATTTTGATCAAGAAAAGGAAGGGGGTGTGTGTGTGTGTGTGTCACTCCGAGACTTTGATTTACCTTAACTGTTTTCTCTCTTATGCATGTACATTCTCTGCTGTATTGCAAAATTCAAAACATTTAGGGACTATGCTCTACGGCAAAACTCAGTCAGAACAATTTGAAGAAGATGTAACATCTGATGATCTGCTCCCTGGTATACTCAAAACCATTGGCACTAATACCTTTGAGAGAAAAAAAAGCAACAGAAAAACTGTTATGTTTACGTTATGGAAAAGAAACTAAGCTAGAGAGGGATTTGGTGACTTTCTGAGTCATGAAGAACAGCTGTCTCATGTCTCAGGGTACAGCCCTAACCTCTACAGTGTTCTTTCCATGAAAATACTTGGAAAAATATTCTTTCTTTCTTTAAAAATCTGTTTTAAAAAGGCCTTCTAAAGTGCCTAATATTTTTGTTATTTTTTTTCCCAATCAGTGCTACTTATGCACTGCAAATGTGATGGTTACTGGGTTTGCAGAAGTAGGGATACTAGTAATAGCATGAAGCACTTTTCACCTACGTCACCAAATAGAGCATGACCTGGTTTCATAATAAATGAAAGAAAAACCCAGCTGCAGCTGTCAGGTAGTACTGTAAAGAGAGTTGTGAAGGCAGTTTCAGTTCACTTCTTAGCAGACAGGTGTCTGCATCCCGAAAGCACCATCACAGCTGGCGCAAACTGATGCTGTTGTTAGCAATCTCAGCAGAGAGGCCAAGCACTGATCTGAGAGTTTATTTATAAATATTTTAGCAGACTGAAGAACCAGGAGGAGTTTTAAATTTACATTTCTTTATACATACTCCCACTCAGAATCTGTGAGCTTAGTAAATCTGTATAAAATCATCATCAGAGCCTGACAATAGGATTTACAAGGGCGATGTATCCATAAAGGCAGAAGCCTCCACTGACAAGCAGGCAATCTTGCTTTCCAAAATGATTTTAATTGCTAATTTTTTTTAATTCCCCAAAACATTAACACAGTGTTAATGAAGGATACAATCACTACACACTGCTTACCCTTGCAGGGTCTCTGTTGTAGTGAACGGATGTATCCTAGATGTAAAGACTCAGTGCTGAATGCCAGGAGCTCAACACTGTGGGCCGAATCGTGCTCAGGACCACAGCACACAAGATGAAAGAGCAGACTAGAAGACACTTGCTCTAAAGGCTACTAGAGGATAATGCAGAGCATATGCAGGATAGAATACAATGCAGGTTGCATGGCATTGAGAAGCTGTCACTTTTGTCAGAAATGTAAGAAAAGCATACTCTGTTTAATAGCAAAGCTTCAAATAACAGTCCTAACAGTTTTGACCTTCAAACAGTTATATCACGTCCCTGACAAACTGCTGTACCAGCCAGGAGAGCCAGACAACTCAGGTGGACTCCAAAATGTGCTAATGGGTCAGTAGCACTGTGATGACGTTATGACGGATTTCTTCTAAATGCCCACTGTTACATATGAAGGAGAATTATGAGGCTAGAGAAGACACACAATGGGTAATCTGCCCTCATGATTGAAAAGAGAAGGTAACTAACTTCTTCCCAAAGACTCTACCACCTCCACTCATTCTTTGCTCAGGAGGAAACACACAGGAGTGGCAGTAAATCAACAAGTTACCTTAGTTATTCAACCGTTAACTGCAACAAGGGGACAAATGAAGCCTTGCTCACATGACTTGCAGCAAATGCCTTCTTACCGTGAGACGTTTCGAGGCATCCACTTCAATCATCCCCCGCAAAAGGTTCTGACAGTCCGGGGGGATAAAATGTGGCATGTGGAACACTCCACGTTTCACCTTCTCCAACAGTTGCCGCAAGTTGTCGTCATCGAAAGGCAGGGCACCCTGCAGGGATGTGACAGAGTGGTGGATGGGAGAGACGAGCGAAAGGGAATTGGAGAGGGCAAAAGGAGAAAAGCCAGGATAAACATGGTGAGAGAATGGAAAAGAGGAAGTCAGCTCATAATGAATTATTATAAGTGAAAAAAACTTTTTATCCATTGAAAATAAATAATTTCTTAATGCTGCTGTATTTTCTCCAACATAGGAAACAAAACTGAGGACATAGTTTTTTTATTAGACCTTTAATTAGAAAATGACTACCAGTATAAAACAATACAAAATATGAAATTGTCTTCCCAGGCAAATTCACCAAAGATGCATGGATTCACTTAAATTCAGCTCAAGCTTTTGATCTGCTGGTATTCCTCCTGGGCATACTTTCACAGCAGCAATGTTTATCGTCTCCTTATTTTTAATCTTCCTGAGACACATTTATTGCAGACATTGAAAAGAAGGTGAACAGCATTTGAGAGACTTTCAGTAAAGAACATCCTCTTTCTGATGGAGCAGTGAAATGACACAGCTGAAAGAAACCCTAACCAACATTAGCCTTTGGAAGCAGCAGACGTTCTACCTGTTTAATATACTCCATCCAGTTCCCATGCTGTGGTCAGGTCATCAGTTCCTATTGCCTCCCTACTGTAGCTCACTTACATGAATGGCTTGAGGTTTTTTTAGCTGAAATTACATTTTGAATAGATCATCAGCTTGCCACAAAAAGCAGCAAAAGACCTATCCTTGCTGCAAGGACAAAAAGGAAAAAAAGAAGTTGAAATCTTTAGGATAACTCCACCGACTGAAGCTGATACCCTTTTATAGCAAGTCTGCACCTTCCTAGATATTCTCACTTCCTTCTTTCACTGCCTAATTCTAGTAGGTGCCGAGCTTCCTTGATTTCCAGGATGGTTTGTGGGAAGCTGCAAGCTGTCAGCTGCTGTGATAATGAAGCTTTAAGTTGTCAATTCTGGCACTGCTCTTACTACAGTGAGTAGTGCATCTGTATAAGCAATCCTGTGTCTATGGTTTATGGAGACCAACAGCTCCATTTACAGAAGCCTCAGAAAGCGCACCTGATGGCAACCACTACTGGGCACTATTTACTGTTCTTTGTTCATTCAAGCGGCCTTGAAGAGAGAGCCTCCCTGTCTCCTGTAACCAATCTCCTGATTTACCTACTTTTTTCCTAACTGTTCCAGACTTAAAGGAAAATCAATTCTGATAGTTCAATACTTTGGCTAATGCAATTTAAGCCACAATGAAGTTAGCAAGGCTGCTTTGTGGCATTTCCTGAAGGTAACAAATACAGCTCTTCTATTACTACCACCTGCTATTATAGCTTGAGACTTTTTGTAGGGTTTGTCCTGACATAATTAACTGGAGAGCTCTGCACTCTTCGTCAATAATAGACTTATTTCAATCGTTTTGCAGGTTCATGTATATATGTAGGAACAGATGAAGATGCAGCAACAGAGAGACACCAAATCTTGACAGTCCCCCTGAAAATAAAAAGCCCACTCCTACAAATCCTAACCACCTTGACACATTCTCTCTTCTATTCTTACAAATTCAAGAAGTTACATTAAGAGCTCATTATACAGTTCTATTTTATCAGCCATGAAAATAGCTGCTGAGGAGCAATAGATGACCAGGTGCTATCTAGTGAGATAGTTAAAATTCTTCCCTTGCAACATCAAGATAAAAAATCTAAAACTTCAAAAATGTCAGTGAATTGTAATGACAAAAAAGAAGAAAAGAGCAAGATCAGTTAAGGTGAATTAAAGCATCATATTGAGATTACTTCAAGGTATTTTGATTCGGGCCAGCATATTTTTTGAAACAAAAACCTTTAAAATTTTCAAGTATTTTAAACAAAAATAATGAGCATAATCTAACTCTGATTGTACATTGTACAAGTGCTTTTGTCAAAATAAAACATTTAAGTGAAGTAATTAGGTTAACTAATAAATATACAAGGACATCAAAATTTGACTTCAAGCTTGTTATTTTTATAATTGTAGGTGATCATCTGAACTATTATAGATATAAAAAACTTAACATGCACATAAAATATATTCTCATATACAGTATTCAATCTGCACAACGTATATGCTTATATGAACATAAACTATATTTTCCTACATTATACTCTGGAAATTGATAACAAATGCCAAGCCTATCTGCCTTCAGCTGGACATCCAATTGTTGTTATCTTTAGGAGTATTACATTACCACTGCAAATCAGAATAAATTCCACAAAGAATTGAAACTTTGATAGAAAGAAGGATAAGTTACAAGATACCACATTTTGAATACTAAAGAAAGCATTACTGAGCCAGATGGAAACTACTTCAAACTTTGTACTACTGGCTCAGTTTTATATTCCCAAGTGTACCAAATTAAAATGTAGCTCAATACTTGCATGAAACAAAACTGTTGCACTCAAATCTTCTCTTGATAAAACCCTGCAGTTAATGTATGCACATACCTACCGAAACACATATATACATACAGCAGAAAAAACAAACACTTCCCAAACCCAGCCATATTTCGATCCTGTGAAGGACAACTTATTTGACACTCTCTGTACCCTGGAGTTGTAACCCTGCATATCCTTTCCAGTCAAAAAATGTGCTGCAATATCACAACACAGAAAAGAGCATTTATGGAGACAAGTTTTTGACGCTTGTCAATGCTCTCCTGTGCAGGGCAGCAGCATTTCAAAGAAGCAGTGAAATATTCCTCATACTTTTCCTTTGGGACCGATGTAGAAATAAGAGGAAAGGATGCAACTGAGAGATACAAAAACAGGAGAACTAAAAAAACCCATCTGTACCTGATGTCAATAGAATAACCATTAAATGCAGCAGCATTTTTGGATTTTTCTTTTCTTTTTAAAGGACAGCGCAAGGAAGATGACTCACCACTAGCAACGCAAACAAAATGACTCCGCAGCTCCAGACGTCTGCTTTCCTTCCATCATATTTTTCTCCCTGCACAGCAATGACACAGGTTCAAAAGACTGCTCACTAGTAAATGAATTAATTATCCTTGAAGAACAAGAGAGGGGAGAATGGGAAACCCCACATTTCAATGCAGCCATCTGCTTCCCAAGGTGGCCTTCCCAACTAGGTGGCCATGACACAGCCCATTAATTGAATTTTTATGAAGATCAGTTTACAGTCTTATCTGGGATCTGCAAGAACAGGCTCAGAAGTGGGGAGCAGGGCAGGAATGGTTGACAACTCACAAATGACTAGACCTGGCACTTAAACAGTGTCAGAGGTGCATTAAGGACGTCAAGAAGGTGTTTTTCTCTTCCCTGGTTCTTCAGGGAGCTTGTCACCAGTCACATTATTCGTGAACTCATAGTATTATCTGGACAGTCTCTTCTGTATGCTTCCTGCTTGGCTTTACATAAAAGACATGCTTTAAAAGAGGGGAATCTCGGCCACTGAAATCTTGGATACTTATTTTCAGAGGACAAAGGGAGAGTAGAGGGAAAGGATAGTTTGTATCGTTTAACGGAAACCAACATCACGGACAGTCAACCCTGGTTCTTCTACTGAAATGACAGCTACATCAGAGACAGAAAAGCATAGGGGACTTCATCCCCTGGGTGGAAAGATCAAGTTAAATGAGGCTACTGTATTTCTGACTGATCACATGGCACGAAGGCTACTGTGAGAATAACACACGATCGTTTCCCTCATATGGCTGATGCAGCTTGATTCAGGGCTGAGCCAAACAAAACCGTAGTTACGTTCCTTGTGTCCTTTCCAATGCTGTCTGCCTTGGACAGATTTCCTGTACAGAGGGTCTATCTGCGTACTTGCAAGGAGTGACGCTTTAGAAGATATATTTATACACACTAATGTTAACCAACTTACCCGGATGACTTCAGGGCAAGCATAATGTGGTGATCTGAAACACAAAATACAGTCAAATGAGCATGTAACAGCCTGGTATTTATGGATTACATGCATTTCCATTTTGTTTACCAGAAGCATGATTGGCTTGCTTATACAGAATGCAAGTGTGCAAAACCAGCACTTTTTTCCTTACCTCAATGAGAACACATTTTTAAGAAACTCAGAAAATGGTCAAGAACTAGCATAATTCAAAATTGTATGACCCTACTATGAATTTCTTAAAAGTGAGGAAGGAAGAGAAGACCAGGCATATTCTGTGACTACATAGAATTCCAGCCCTCTAATCCCACCCTTTAACTTGGCCTTGTATCTAATTAGAAGGAAGGCCCACACTGGATAGCCTTTTATAAGAAAAAAGACAGAACAATATTTTCAGACCAAATGCATGCATCCCTAAACCATGTCTTGCATCTCTTCTGCTAAGATTGCTCTCAGTTACCCCAGCGGTCATAAAAGCTGCTGATACACGATTTCAATATGCAATTTTTTTTTCTTTTAAAAAACTAAAAAGGATGGACAGTAGTACTATTACCTAGAGAGTTAATATATTCTTTTCATATCCTTCCACCCATATATCTCTGGTTTGATTCCTGGCTGAGAATAGTTAATTACTTCAACTTGCCAGGTAATCATTTTAATTCCTAAAGATTATAGCCACAGCTATTTATTTTATAGCCTCCATTAAAGTAACTTGACAAGTAAAAGGGATGCAAACTGTCTGAGACCTGTGTGCAAATCATGCTATTGTTTATACTGACACCTCCCAGCAGTCCCTGAGCCTGTCTTAATTTCTGCATTTGTTTCTTGTGACAAACAATCATGGCTGGGCAATACCTGTCTCACAAAGTAATGAGCAAAACAGAAGCACAGTTAGGTTAGCTTTGTGCTAGGATGCTACATTAATGCCCAGTGAGACAGCCCATTAATTGAATTTCCATACACGCTACATTTATCTTATGGCAAAATTATGATCCCGTGGGCATGGAATGCCCTGATTTGGTATCACAGCTTTCGGCAGACCATGATAATAAACTCGGAGTACACTTGGGACTGTAGCTACCTTGACAGCAAAGCTTAAGTGAGGAGAGAGAAATGCAGTTGATCCCTCACAAATTTTAGGACAGATGGAATTCAGAAGTTTAGTACAAATACTTCCCCCCCAATTTAAAAGGTTATCACAGGTATTCTAACCAGATCTATCTGCTCAGTAGTGATCCCAAGTGTCTGAATTTAGACTGGATTTTAAAAACCTTGATTCCAGAGTCAAAACAGATAATGACAACCAGAGCCTTCCCCCAGAGAGCTGGCCAGAGTTGGCCCTTGGGAGACCAAAAAGAATGGACTTGTGCCTAGTGGGACAGTCTGCCATGCACAGACTACCTGGGCTCTCTTGGCAGCTCTGTTACTGGCAGCCATATGGACATGGACAAGGTTACTTAATGTTTTTAAAAGCTCAGCTGGCCACAGTTTGAAAAAGGTGAGCAGAACCTCACCATGAGTCTACTCTTCTGACTAAAACAGGAGCAATGCCACCACAGCTTTCATACCTCACAAGAGTTTGTATGACTGAATTCACTGGGATTTGTACGAGGCTTTAACCTTTTAGGGCAAAAGCTTCTATAGTAACAAAGAGCGTGATGGCAACAATAATGAAATAAAGCTAAAGCAGTCAGTAATGTTAATAAAACTGTTGCTTCTTGACTAAGCGAGGGCTGATTTGGGGGACTTGCAGCATATTGCTGGCCACTGCTGGAGAGAAAGTGAGGCCAGAGTGAGACACTGAATTGCTCAATGTTATGTACGTGTTCCTAACCCTCCAACATATATTGTTCCCTGTGAATTTGCTTCTTTATAGCAATCCAACAGCTACTCTACACCTGTTCTTTTTAATACCCCAAAGCCTTAACCACTAAACAGTCATGTCACTGGACTAATGCACTATTTCACAAGCTTTTAGAAGACAAGTTAAATTATTCTTGTGAGAATACCTGACTAGTGGTGTTGTCTTTTTTTCATATCATAAAAATGGTGTATAGTGTACAGGCCATCCTTAAGGTACACATAAATCAGAATTAAGGAGCAGCACCAGAATTGGGACTACAACCCAGGACTGGACAAGCACAGCCAACTGTCATCAGTGCAAGATTGCTTAGACAGAACAGTGAAAGAGGGCAGTATGGGAGCCGTAGTGAAGGTAGTAATGCAACTATAATTTGGAAAAAAACATGGTAGCAAAAAGAATACAGGAATTACATCAGATCATAGACATTCACTCAGTTTAGTCACCTCAGAATAAATAACATGTTCTATATAACTGAGTCACATTAGGTTTATTGGAAAACATATCAGGGGGTAACAAAGGAGTGAAGACGCAATCTAGGTAACTGTTGAGCTCCTGTCACTTAGTGTGTCTGAGTTTCTCAGTCTTGCATGCATTTTAGCTTCTGTCAGGTACAATGCTACCATTGCCTTTCCTACAGAAGGTGAGTCATGAAGACACACAGTACATTAAATGGCTACTACAGGTGGTGTCTGTAGCTGAGCTAGAAACTTAAGGCAGACCTCTCAAATCCTGCATGGTATCCTGTACAGTTCAGCATCATTCTTCAGCACAATACTTTTTGGGTGGCTATGCCATCTGTGGTGCACTAGAAGAGTCAGTATTTCAATTTGCAGAGTGCTTCTGAGTTTTTATTTGTATATGATGACTCCAACAAAGATTTCAGAACTCTTAATTGTGGATGCTGAGCAACACAACCACCCTGACAGCCTCCTGTGCTAACATCCTTGAAAAGAAGAATGTAAGTGTTGTGAGGAACCCAAGATAGGGACATACCTATTTATGTGTCCCACTAGCAAATGCACTTAAAGCATTTACCTTCCTGAGGTCAGCTGGAGTGCAGTGGAATCTGCTAGGTATCTACAAGGCACTGAAAGTCTGCTAAAATCTAGGAGAATGGGTGGAGAAAATGCTATAATAAAACCTTTGAACAAGTTGGATTGATTCGATCATTCAACAGCTGCACTGCAACTGCCCAGAGAGCACAGGTTTCTGGCATAGCCATTCTGAATTCTTGCCAGCACATGCTAGATATCTGCAGCATTATCTTGGCTAACAGCTCTAAAAGGGATCCTCTGGTGAGCCAGAATCCATAGAAAACTCATTTCCATGATGCCAATCACAGAGCAACTTCAACTGCTTTAAAGAGAAAACTCAAATTTAATCAAAAATCTATTTATCTTTCTACAGAGACATGAATATTTCTTTGGCTCTTATCACTAATTATTCAATATACGTGTGTCAATAGCAAAATTCCCTGCCTCTTCCCCGAGGCCATCTCCTCATCGTTCAGCTACTTCTCTGTGCAGCAAAAGCTACAATCTGCCCCTGATAACAAATAAGTATATCGCTCAGCAAGATCAAGAAGCAGTTGCTGCCTGCGGGTACTGCTGCAAAAAAAGCACCAATGTTGGCAGTGTTTATTTCAAGGGTGATGTGGATTTTCCCAGGCTAGTCTGCCTGGGGCAGGAAGGGCTCTCTGAATGGTCATTCACAGCTATGACTCTAGGACACAGTAATCTTAAGGATCTTGGGGGAGCTTAGCAAAGCATTTACGTGGGATTTCAACCAGAGGAAATAAGCCAGAGTGCAATGGTGAAATCCAGGACAGCCCTGGACAGGAAGTCAGGCATTCAGAAAGAAATGTATATATCCTTGATGTTTGAATTTCATCTGAGAAACTATAAAAGTAGTTCTTGATCTGTGCACCTTAAGATACAGCGCAGCTACAGTAGATCTGAGACAACCAGGGCCATATCTTCAGTGCAGATGTGACGTGCCTGTGACCTACAGGTGTCATCATGCAGGTAAGAGAGACCTGCACTGTGCACACACAAATCAGCTGCCCATGTATGGTTTATCTGGGAATATACAGTAACTGCTTTTCCAGAGAAGCTGTTGGTTGATCAGGAAGCACAGGGAAAGCTGTGTGATCCTACTCCACAGTGTGACAAATCGTGTGTTACACTGCCTGATGGGTTCCCAGGTCCCATCAAAGATGAGCGTCCATGCCTGGGTCCTTTGGTCCCATGCCATAAGATGGTACTATCTGGGGAAGAAAAAAAACTTCTTTGAGTGCCATTCTTTAGGCCTCACAGCTGGAGGCAGAGTTTCTGCAGAGAGGGAAGAACAAGAAGTCTCCTTCCCTCTGTTTTTCTTATGCATGAAGTTACCTTGATACAAGAGGTTGTACAGGTGCACTGAAGTCCTCCCACATTTAGCTGTTTTTGCTGTTGCTCAGATGCTAAAGTCCCTTCTTCCCCCCCCGTTAACCACCATCTCCAAGCTGGCTTTCAGAGACAGAAGCTACCCACTAGCGCAAAAGGCTGCCTATGCTTTCCCCCCATGCTGGGTAGCAAAGGGCTGAGATGAAGGGGAACGCCAGAGGAGTAGCAAAATAGATAAAGGGAATTCTTCAGGAGAAGGACATATGTTAGAGCATCCTGAATGGAGAAAGTGACAGCCACAGATCACACAGAAAAGTAAGACAGGGAGAGACTGAAGAAACGGTTCCAGCAGTAGTGGGTAGTTAAGGCTGCAGTGAAGGCAGTAGCTGTAGGTAAGGCTGTAATTAAGGTAGTAGCTGTAGTTAAGGCTGAGTGCTATTTTGCCATTAAAGCTTCAACTCAGTCATTTAGTTTTATATGAGAAAACTCAGCATCTAGCCCTCAGCCATCTTACAACTGTTTACTTCTCGAGCACAATTACATTTTGGGGGAATCTGCAAATCAGTTCATTAATTAATATATCAGTTCAAATTATTAAGACTTGGAACCTTTAAGAGATCTTAATTTAAAAAATGAAACAGACCCCTGTATTAAAAGGGCATAAAGATTGCAAAGTTAAGTATTCAAAAGTTAAGAATTGCTAAAATAAAGCTTGAAGAGGTTATACTGTACTCTGCGGGTAAGTCAGGGTGGGGCGGTGGATGT